TCCCACTAAATCAAAAAATTTTAACAATTTAGACTGTATGAAAGCTCCATTGGTGTGATCCCTATATCCCATCTTATGCACACTTCTTATCGCTCTTTTTTGTAATATATACAATGGTTGAAGTGAGCTTTTGTATGTATTTCCCCAGTTTTCAACGCCATACTCTAAGTATGGCAAAATCAGTGAAGAATACAAAATGCGTAGTGCTTTCCCATCCAAAATATATCTAACCCTTGCCAATATCGATATATTTTTTGCTATTTTATGCTGAATATATCTGATATGATATTGGTGGTTCGATTCCTGTTCTCCCCAGGTCAAGTGTCCTCAGGCAAGACAATGAACTCCTAGTTGCTCCCAGTGGCCAGGCCAGTGACTTGCATGGCAGCTCCGCCTCCATTGGTGTGTGAATGGCTGGGTGGGTGAAGCTGTAAAGCGCTTTGTCCAGGTTGGTAGAAAAGCACTAGACAGGTGCCGCCCATTTATCAGATGCTTTTGTCTAAAGCAACGTCCAATACGCAGGAGCCAGAGCTACACATCATTCAAAACTGTGTGTGCTAGGGACCGAACAGTTCAAATAAAAAAAACAAAACTGACCTGTTTGGTTCGCTAGTCACGGTTCAGGGCATATATGTACTGTCTGGCTCATTTGAAATAGGCTGAGACATGCACGGAAAATGTTGTTAGGGAAAAAGCCTTGGACCAATAACCCAGTCAAACTTATTGGCATGAAAGAAATGTCAATTACAACTGTCTGTCGGTCTTATAAATGCCCAGTGGACAAGACCAAGGAGAGCTAGATAACCCACCAGCATTGTTTGGTCTCTGAAAACAAACTATGAGCTGTGCTGGACTTAACAGTAAAAATGTACTAGACAAAAGCTGTTTCCATGTAGGCTCATCAAGAACAAATCAGGACGTTTTTATGAATGAATTTATTAATTGTAGCCTACTGATTTTCCCTGGCTCGCTACAGAGGGTGGGGAAAAGGTTGTAACAGAAGAGTGATTTGAGTGATTTAAACAGCTGTCTGTGGAGATACGCTTCACTAAATGCACCAGAGGGGGAAAAATAGACCTGAAGCTTAAAATAATGCACGGGTGATGTGCTTCTTGCACGCACAGTGTCAACGGACCCTTCTGACAGAATGGAATTCCATCTGTTGGCGACGCACGTAACAAAGTGTCTGGGTAAAAACGACATTACCTTGCAGTCCCAGGTACACCTGTACAGAATAAGAGTCGTCTCTACAGTAGGGTTAGGGTTAGAAAATCTCTTTCTGCTGGTAGATCTTGTTTTGTGCCACAGAATGTGAACAAGCTCTGCATCTTGCAGAGGGACATGAAAATAGAATGAACAGTGTTCGGTGTGCATTTGGTTTATGCTGCACTTTATAAAGGCAGTGGTTATGTTCCTCTTGGTCTTAGCCAGAATTTTAAGGTAAGCATTTAACACCGTCTGCCAAATAAATAAAAAGCATGTTGAGATTGACAGTGCCCCCAAAAACATACAGAACCACACCGAAGACCATGATATAAACCTAATTTGGTTGGACTGTTCCACCCCTAGATTGTGCTGCTTTAAACAAACTAAAACCATATTCAGAGTTAAGTGTTAAGAAAAAGGACATCAGTCGGCAGAGTTGTTGAGCTGTAGGGTGAAGCGCAGGGAATCTGCTGTCCTGACTTCAGCTCAGTGGATCCAGAACAAAGAACCCACGTAGCATGAGGGAACATGGAGTCCTCTGACACAAAGCCCAGAGGCAGAGGAGGCAGCAGTCAGGTCGGGTTCTAGGTTTTGGCCAGGACCTAGAGGGAGGAATAAACTGATCCCTTCCTTCCTTAGCACCAAAGTCTGATCTGGATCAAGCAGCAGTACGAGCCAGTGTAGTGAGTTCAGGAGAGGAGTGGCGACAGAACACCAAGTAAGCCTGAAAACCAGGTGGATGCAGGGTTATGGACCCACTGCTGAGTTCCATTCAGCAGGTCTGTTTACCTCTAGCTGTGAGTCTCACCTGAGGATGCCGTTGATGCAGCTCTGACAGAAGCGGTGTCCACACTCTGTCTGGCGGGGCTGACACAGGACCAGGCCGCAGTCCTCACAGCGGTATTTAGCTTCTGGGGTTTCTACAAAGTGATCTCTGAATCCTCCATGAAGAGGCAGGAAACCTGCAGTGACACCTGAACACAGAGACACACCTGAGTGTAGTCAGCAGTACGACCGAGTGAACCTCAGGGATTTGTGTTTTACTGCTCCTTCCAACAATTAAACATTTATTCTGAAAGTGCCTACACGTGTTTGATGTGCTTACCTTGTGAAGCAGCGGGGTCACTGGGAGGCCAGGGATTGGCTGGGCGGTGAGACAGTGGGGCAATGAGAGGGGCCACAGAGAGGGACGTGGCAAGTGAGGGTGGCACCTGTTGGACGGGAACCTGCACCTCCCTCCCGTCAGCACTCCTCCCCACTGACATGACCTGAAGGGGGAGGAGGAATAAGTGATAAATGGGTAACTTACCCAACATGGGTTGGCGTTTTGACCCCAGTCTGCATGTGCTCAGTAGATTCCAGCAGACAGGTGTGGCTTATGACATGGTCCAGGTCATATGTAAAACTGTCAGTTTAACTAGAAAAAAGTGACCGTTTACACTGAAAAGTACAGTGAAAACATTTAACGGCTTAAACGTGTTTGTATAGGGAGTAAAAGCTAAGGCGTCATCCACTCCACTTCACCAGTGATGCCACCTCTTCTCCTTTAAACACCTCAGTACAAATAAAAACTAACTAAATGGAGTTGGAGTAGGAGCTGAAGCATCAGTTCAGATGTCAGCAGTGAATGTTTTTAATAAGCAGCTGTGAAGTTCACCATACACACTCATTATAAAATACTTAAAATATCAAAGCATCAAACTCAACCCGATTTGTCAAAACAGTTTAAACTCTGAAAACAGCTCAAGCAGGTTTGAACAATCTGTGGCCACATGTACATCACACAACCAGCTGAGGAAATCTGAATATTTAAACAACCACCAAAAATATGAAAAAGAATCATTACATCTCAAACGTTCAGTGAGAGCAGAAGCTGCAGTGAGCACATTAAAACACAGGGAGATGTGACCTTTGACCTGACACACAATCAGCTGTTTTACACAGAAACACTTCACTTCCTGTCATGCCTGTGGGGATGCTAGGGGCTTTTCCACTGACTGCATCATTAACTCACACACATACCAAACTTCAAAATAGAAGCCCTGAATGTTTGACCGAACATCAGATATCAGCAGTGTGTGATACAGGTGCCTCCTGGAGGTACTGACCTGGTATTTAATGAAGCCAGAAGAGAAAACATGGCTTAATTGTATTTTTAAAAGCAAGCCAACGTTGAACACATAGATCAGGTTAATCCACAAAACTCAAACCTGCTAAACACTAAACCAGGATGATTGACAAGAGAATAAACTATACATGCTGTTATTTACACCAGTCAGAACAGCAGGTAAAAAGAGAGGAATGCACCTTTATTGCTGTGACGTCACTGCATGCTCAGGCTGGACAGACGTGACAAACAGATGCAGGGCAGCCTTTGCTCGTTTTCACAAACAGAAAGTGGAATCTTAGACGGGGTTTTCCTCACCACACAGCAGCTGATTCTGCTTCAGAAACGGTCGAACTACAACTGGCAAGTTTAAGATTCAAGCCTTTAAAGGTTTGGATTCCCTTCAGTACGACCAGCTCAGACCCTGACGCCTCATCTCAAAAACCTTCACGGATGGTGCATAGTGTCAAATAATCCCCAGTTCATCAGCAGTTCAAGCCCCATGTTAAACTGGGACCAGTTCAGACAGCTCGTTAAAATGGTAAACGGCTGTGTTTCACTCCGACGGCGGTCTGAGGCTCAGTGTTTGGCTCAAAGACGCTTCATCGGGATGATCTGGGGATTGAACCACCAACCCCGATCGGTGGACGAGCTGCAGACAACTTCAGATGAGGACCACCTGAGCTCTCAGCTGCAGGGGATTGTGGGATACCGAAGACTATGGGACAACGGTTATTACGGGCAAATATAAATACTGTTCAAATAAATCGGTTGGAACACGACGTTATCCTGTGCTGTGCGTGATGTAACAAGAAATCAACGACGTGTTCACATATACAGCAGCGACAAACCATGGCCATGTACAACAGTAAGAAGAGCAACACAAACTTATTGAATAAGCACAGTCACATTTTTGCTGGTCAAACACTGCACGTTGGTTCATGTATCCGTCAGAAGTTTAGAGGAGGAACCAGCAAAGGTTGCACGTCTCTGCTGCCGCGTCACTGTCAGTCTGCACTTGTTCGCCTGAGGAAAACCCCAGAAAAGTCTCTGAACTCGTGCTCGTTTTCCTGCCAGAGTGAAACTTCCCCTGCAGCTGCTTTTACCTGAATCGGTCAGGTGACTGGAAACATGAGGAAATGTTCTGGTTTTATTGATCAGATGTTTTGTTACAGCTGCAAACGGTGTCAGTATAAAGTACAGATGTTCACACCTGCTGTTTAACGCCCGTCTGTGGCACAAAGCTTCACACCTGTAAAACCTTCCAAACAACATATTCTCCTAACAAAATGTGGCCTCAAGTTCTTAAACTGATCATTTTATTAGACCTGAACATCACTTTGAGTCTCAGAGCAAACACACTGGGCTGATCAGGGAATGACAAACTGTCAAGCACCAACTGAAGCGAGTGTGAGCAGTGTTATGCTTTGCATCTCCAATGTGTGTGTTGTGTGAGCGGTTATATGCTGAAGCTCACGTTGGACGTCAGGCCTCTAATAAGAGGCACAGGGGCGTCATCATGCCGGCTTTATTTAGTTTGGTATAAACAGAAGGGCCAGCTTAACGCCAGTGTAGCGGAATACAGCGCCTTCCTCCGACTGGCAGCCAAGTAACCGATCAGATGATTGATCAGAGAAGGAAGATCCAGTCAGAGACAGACAGTAGATCAGCCCTACATTGGTCTGTTGCACATTTTTAAATCCTTACAGTTTATTCAATGGTATTGTGCAAATGCTTAGAATGAACATTTTAAAGTTAATTTTATGTAAGTGGAATTAATAAGACAAGAAAAGACCAGTTTATTATATTTATAAAATAACAGGAAATTCAGTCTCAGACTGACAAATGATTATAAATGAAAATTGGTGTCAGATTTATTGTGTAAATGATGAAAACTAAAACAAGAGGAACACCTGATCAAATGGTTAAATTATCCACTTACACTATTCTGAAATAAGACTGCTTCAGCCACTTTGTTGTTATTATTATTATGCTGTTTCTGTGCTGCATCGTGGAGGAAATGAAACAACTTCTGATTCTGATATTGTCTTCTCCTCTCTACTCCAGCAGCACAAACTGTTTCATACTGGTGACACTGGTGCCACCAAGTCTCTCAGATGGCGGCACCGGTGCCAGATTTGGCATCTCTGTTTTACAAGGTAATGCAAAAGAATCTGTATTTTTAGAAAATTCTTTTAAATACCCTGACCATCCAATGTGCATAGCCTGTATGTATAATCTTTTTGTCGTCACTGTAGAGCTCTATAGGCTGGCAGTCAACGTGATGATGAAGACACTGATGATGACGACGATTAGACTCTTATATTTCAGCTCAAGAATAAACCAATGAATTGTGCGCATGCTTTGCCATTTGTGTACGTGATTTATTTGTAGCCCATTTTTCTTCTGAGGAAGAATTTCTGCTGTGTTGGACTGGGACTTCATGCACAGTTCGTCCTAACCCACCTGCTAGTCCCAGCTCATTGTGGGTTGAAGTTACTAGTAGCCTAATACTTAAAGAAGGATTGATGGTGGGTTTCAGCCACTACTAACTTCAGACGTGAGCGGTGCGTATGCACGACTTGTTTGATCTGTTCAGTCCACACTGACTCAGACCTGCGTTGACCAATCATGTACGGAGGATGATCAGGATGTGGAGGCCCACGGAAACGAGACTCTTTTGTTTACCTTGTTAGCTGAGCACTCGCTGCTATTCATTGTCGAGTTTGAGCCACAGTTAACGCACCATAACGACACGCCGTGCGTTTTCGTTACTGCTGGATGTCCAACTTTATCTACCAGTGCCGACACACTGGCTGTAGAACTGGTGTTAAGGTGGAGCAGGCTACGTTAGCAGCGTGGCTAACTGTTAGGTATTAGTAATTGTTAGACCTTAATGTGTTAGTAATGCAATTTAGTAAGATTCAAATTCTGCTCTAGTCTGTTCTCTTTCAAGGTTAGCAGACAGTGTTGATTCTGAAAAGTGAACCATGACACCAATTGTTTTCTTGTATTAAATCTTGTGTTAGAATATTATGTCTGAATAAATGGATGAATGCCTTAGCTACGCATCACATGACAACACACACACATTGAGATTCTTCCTTTTGTTATGACTAGGTAGAGACGAAGCGGCTCCAAGCATGTGGAGCTCTAGATAAGAGATGGAGTCTGCGGGACTGACTTCATCTGGGTAAGGGGTTAGCCCAAAACATATAAATGTATTAGGCTTTGTGTGGCCAGGAACTCCTTTTTCCACCAGCCAGTGTGTGTGTTTCTGGAAGGAGGAACAACCCAGGTCGTGTTTGTACTTTTACTTGTGGTTTAAAATAAATCAGCACTAAATGAAGAAAGACGGACTCCATTATTCATCATCAGCATCATCAACTTTATTTATATAGCACATTTAACACAGCCAGAGATGACCAAAGTGCTTAACACAATATCCACAAAACCCATTAAAACAAAATAAACAAGCAACAGTAAAACAACATCACAATTAAAACAACCACCCATCATAAAACAAAGGCTCAACAAGACAGTCTCATACTGGTTCGAACGCCAAACGGTACAGATGAGTCTTCAAATAAGTTTTAAAGGTGGACAACGAGGGGGCCTGCCTAATGTACAGGGGCAATGCATTCCACAACTTAGGAGCCCCCACAGAGAAGGCTCTGCCCCCCCTAAGTCTCCGCCTAGCCCTCGGTGTCTCCAAGAGCAGCTGATCAGCTGATCTGAGGCACCGAGAGGGGCTATAGGAATGCAGCAATTCTGTAAGATAAAGGGGGGCCAAACCATTTAGAGACTTAAAAACAAATGAAAGAATATTAAAATGAATTCTAAAACACACCGGCAGCCAATGTAGAGAAGCCAAAATGAGTGTGATATGGTCCCTTTTGCGCCCTCCACCCAGTAGACGAGCAGCAGCATTTTGAACTTTCTGAAGGCGGGAAGGGACGCCTGACTGAGCCCAAAATATAGTGCATTACAGTAATCCACACGAGACGTAATGAATGCATGTATTACCGTCTCAAAATGCTGCCGCGAAAGAAAAGGCTTTACCTTTGCCAGCTGCCGGAGATGATAAAAACTGGCCCGTACAACCGCATTCACTTGATATTCCATTCTAAGATCAAAGTCTATTTTAACACCAAGGTTTGT